TTAAGACCATCAAGACTACAGAAGACGAAGATAGCCAGCCAAAGGCCTGATCCCTCACGTGTAGATCAGGGGTTCTCCCAAGTCACCCTGTGGAGAGAGGACCTTCTGGATCCAGCAGCCCATCCCCATCCTAACCCTCATCCACAACCCCAACCAAAATCTCACCTGACCCAATGCAACTCAATCCAGCCCAACCCCATACAACTCCAACTCAACTCATTTCAACCCAATCCAAGTTCTGGGCAATGGCCCTTCTACAGTGAAGCCTTGAAGTCTAAGATTCTTGGACAGCTGACATCCAGCCTCTCTCATACACCTTTCCACCATGGCTCCCTGTGATCCTGGGCTCCTTGTCAGACACCAGGATTCAGCCAGATGCCATGTGGGCCCCACCCACGAAGGGGAAACCATGGGCAGCACCATGGGCAGTGCAAGTGGTGGGTGAGGCGGCACAGGTGGGGCCAGTTGCAGCAACATGGTGTCATGGTGGCAACCTTGTGTCTCACAACTCTTGCTGGATGGTGCATGAAACAGCCCACAGTATCTCTTGGGTATTGTGTTTACACAGAGTGTGCTCACCACAAGCACCCATGTGGGGCTGTGTAGGCAGGGGCTATGCACAAGGAGAGTGCAGGGTACACAAAAAGACTGAATTGCTAGCAAGCTGGGCTCTCTCAACACTGTGGGGTGCTAGAGTTCCAGTTATCCACTGGTAACATCCTAGAGCCAGGGTCCAAGCCCTGTGTCTCAGGTTCCTTGGAGTCCCAAGGCACACACACACTGGGGTCCAGCCTCCTAACTCCAGTACATCCTTCCACATAGTATGGGAGTTGGGAAATGTCCCACATCCTTTTCCCCAACTCTGGAGTCCAGGTCTCTAGACTACTTCCCACAACATCCAGGAGCCAACCCCCAGACCTCTCCATCCCCGGATCCAGAATCCTGTTGTTCTGAGTTATTCAGTCATGCCTCATCAGGACCACAAGCCCTGCATTGTCACAGCCTTTGTCAGTGGACCCCATGTAGCCTATTGTGTGGGGAGAGGAGGGAAGCAACCGAGTTAAATGTCCACACACTGAGGGTCACTTGCCAGGGCTGGAAGTGGAGCTCACCCTCCTCACCTTCCAGGAACTTGTCACCTTACTGGGTTTCTGGGCAAGTAAGTGGAAAATCCCTGAGGACAGGAACCTTCCCCTCTACTGTTACCACTTCCCTGTGCCCTGCTCTACCTACATATTATTCATGTATGCTTTTCCTGCAACTTCTCCAGAAGCCCCTGGGTTTTTTTAAGCAATATTCTTTCTTTAGGTTTTACAACTGCTGCTTATTTTTCCAGAATTTACCCCCACCTCCTCTGACCTCATTTGCTATAGACTTGTGTGTGCATGCGTGTGTGTGTGTGTGTGTGTGTGTGTGTGTGTGTGTATGTGTCATGGCTTCAGTGTCCACAGATATATTCCTAAGATCACAGCCATACACACAGACATATACATTAGGCAGGATTTGCACATACAGGTCAAATGACCACATTCTGTCTGGGCAGCTTGGGGAAACATGGATGTGGTAAGTAAGACATATGGAAGAATGGACGAGGTTGTCCTGAAGTAATGATGGAGGGTGTGCTGTGAACAGTACTGGGGTAGAATTCTCCATGGACCCTCATGCTTCTGCATGTCTTGTGAGCAATGGAATTAACATATTTTGCTTGGATAGGATGTTGGTGTAGCAAGCAGTCTTAAATGGTTATTTCCCTCAGAGCAGTTTGTTTACTCTCCAGGACAATAAAAACTTCTCTCCAGAAAAATCTGTTTATTGTCCTAGCTAATAAATATAATGCCCCACCCTCACAGAGATTTATTTGCTGTCCAAACAATAAATATGTCTCCAGGGCATATCTGTTTATAGCCCAGATTAATAAAGATAATATCTCTCTCCTGAGCAAAGATTGAGAAGATTTCCTTCCAGCCTGCTGATAAGATTGTGGAGTTCTAAACTCGGTTTCTTCAGTTGCGGTACAAAATACTATGTCTGCAGCATAAACCTAGAGATGGTTGACTCCCTCAACTCGATAAAGAACAAAAATCTCACGGATCACACTGGTTAATAGTGAGAGACTAGATGCTTTCCCCCTATGAGTGGAAACAAGGAAAGGGTGTCTTTTTCAACTACTCTTATTCAGCATTATATTGGAAGTCTTAGCTAATGCAATGAGACCAAAAAATGAAAACAAAAACAAAAAAACAAAAACAAAAACCCCACTAAACTAAACTAAAGGTATGCAAATTAGAAAAGAAAAAAATAAGATGATCTTTGCTCCTAGATGACATAACTGTCTTTGTAAAGTCACAAAAAAAAAGGTTTTTTTACAAAAACTCCTGGAATTGATAAGCAATGATAATAAGGCTGTGTTAACCCTAAAAATAAAACTGTCAGTCGTGTTACCAGCAAGATGGGTTTATTCAAGAGCAGCAGAGAACAATTCAAGATAAGAGAGCTATGGCACAACCATATGCAAACCCAGAGAACGAAAGGGAAACAGTCTTTTATAGAGGAAATGAAAGAGTGGGAGGGTCTGTTATAAACAAAAAGCCCATTGGAGTGACTGGGAGTTTGGAGTGTAGTGGCTTTTCATTGGCTGAGTTGTGACAGTCTCTCACTGGTGGGACTGTTGCCTGGAAAGGAGAAAATATTTCTTTCTCCTACTGTGTTATTAAAGTATAGGCTTATTCCTACTTAAAGTGCAAGGAATATCTCTTTTTGTTGGGATCTGCAACTGACAAATGGTAGAGCGTAAGAGCTCCACTTTCTGGACCCAGACACTATTGTAAATATCCTTTTATTAATTTTTGCAGTGGCAAGATGCAAGGATAATATATAGGAGTTAATTGTCTTTTTATATACCAGCAATGAACACTTGGAATTTGGGATTAAAAACACAATCCCATTTACATTAGCACTCACAAAAATGGGGATCTTAGGAACAAATCTAACAAAATGTGTGTAAGGTCCATATAAGGCAACTACCCCACTCTGATGAAAGAAACCAAAGAAGGTCTAAATAACTGGAGAGATATTCCATGTTCACAGATAGAGACAGTCACTATTTTAAGATGTCAGTTTTTCCCAACTTGATTTCCAGAGTCAGTGAAATCCCAATCAACATCCCAGAAGGTTACTTTATGGATAATGACAAACTGATTTTAAACTTTATATGGAAAGGGGTGGTTCAGTCAGTTAAGCGGCCGACTTCAGCTCAGATCGTGATCTCATGGTTTGTGAGTTCAAGCCCTGCGTCGGGCTCTGTGCTGACAGCTCAGAGCCTGGAGCCTGCTTCGGATTCTGTGTCTCCCTGTCTCTCTGCCCCGACCCCACTCACGCTCTGTCTCTCTCTCAAAAATAAATAAACGTTAAAAAAAAATGTTAAACTTTATATGGAAAGGCAAAACACCCAGGATAGCCAGGTTTAGAGTTTTGAGGCCAGCCAGGCGCCCCTCTTTCCGCCATTTTAAATTCTATAAGCCCTATCTCCCACATTTTGCCACATTTTCCCTTTTGCTATTTTTTTTTCTCTTTCTGAGACCTTAATGTCAGCATCTGTACCTCCAGCCTCCATTTCTTTTAGCATTTCTTTAAAATTTTTCTTTCTCTTTCCTTCCAGTCTGATAAGTCATTATTGTGTTCTTCAGCTGTATTCCACTCTGCTACTCATCTGTAATTGTTTTTACTTTTTACAACTACTACATTAATTTAGCAGGCCTGTGGTGCTCAAACCACGCATAGTCCAAAGAAAGGACTGGCCCTTGAGTGGCTTCTGGGAGGTAATATCTGATGTCTTGGAATATCCTGCCTGGGAAGAGTGCCTTAGCATACCTGGCGTCTTGAGTCATGCCAGAGAGTTTGTGCTAACAATGTGATTTGTGGTGAACATAAATGTTTTTGTACACCTGGGGCCTGGGCCACGCTGTATCAGTTGGACCTCTGGAAAGACTGGTGACTGAGTAGTTAAGGTCAGTTGTGCAAGCACTCCAATTCTACTGACCTCCACTCTAAACTCTGGACACCAAGGCTTGGGTGAGAAATACTTTGTACTTGTCCCACATTGTTTCTGGGGAGAATCAAGTGCTGCTCATATGACTCCACTGGGAGAGAAAACTGCAGGTCAGTCCCTGGTTTCTCCACACTTCAATCAATATACCTGCTTCCTTGGCTGATTTTAATGTGTGTCCTGTCACTGTAATAAACCATATAAACCACAGTATAACAGCCTTTCTGAGTTCTTGAATCCTCTAGCAAATCATTAAATCTGAGGGTGTTTTGGGGGACCCCCAACATACTCCCCATGGTAAGGCAGCTTCCAGGGACTCCAGCCTCTTCCCCTAGTCTGTCCCCTCACAACATAATGCTGCCCCTACTGGGTGCCCAGGTGGCTCAGTTGGTTGAGCATCCAACTTTGGCTCAGGTCATGATCTCACAGTTTGTGAGTTTGAACCCCATATGGGGCTGTCTGCTGTCAGCATGGAGCCTACTTTCGATCCTCTGTCCCCCCCCCCACCCTCCGCATCTCCCCTGCTTGCTCTCTCTCTCTTTCTCTCTCTCAAAAATAAACATTTAAAAAACATAAACAAGAAACAATGCTGACCCTACCTCTCCTCTAGTCACGATTTCTCTAGGGTTTCCCAGGGCCTCCAGGACAAAATGGGTTGTTTGCTCTAAGCTCATCCTTGACGTGTATCTGGTGCGCTGTGCTTCCACATTCTGTTTCTTGCTCCATGGACAGCATCTACCACGTGTCACTGTCTCTCTCTCAAGGCAGACACACAGCCCTCTTCCATCTCAGCGTCACCACGGAGAACACAGACATCCATCTCCTTGTGTGTGTCCTTGCAGAACCTATGGGAGATGTCTTCGGACATTGCCAACATTTCTGGGCAGGTGGGTGCAAAACTGCCCCCATTTGACAATCCCTGGACTACACCTGTCTCTGTCCCTTCCTTCCCCTCCTAGTCCTTGACTTCACACCTCAGGACACAAGTCAGGGGGACTGGGAAAGTTCTAGCTTCTGCCAGGTGGATCCTGAACTTCCAGGTGCCCTGTGTCCAGAAAAGACCAGACGATGCCAGAAATTGATGTATACTCAATTTTATTAGGGGCAGAGGGTTGGAAAAGAACATTCGGGTGTTGGCCCTCGTAGCATCCTTGATATACTTCAGATGAGGCATCAGCTTGCTGTACAAGGTGGGCTTTTTACATCTGGCACATGGCTTACTGCCCCATGATGTGATACCTTGAAACATGCCATTACATACCAGGGGACCCCCTGAATCACCCTGAAAGTAAAAGAGGGAAAGACAGAGAGTGACAGAGGTCAGCCTAATTTCTGCCTGGGGAACCCAAGCTTTCAAACCTGGGTTTGCATATTACACACAGCGACTCCCAGCAATGGGGAAAGAAACAATTGCCTGAGTCCTTTCTCAGAAGGCAGGTGGGAATTCCAACACAGAGGACAATGACTCGAGTCCTGGCTACTAGAGGTGGGACTTCAGAGTCCAGAAGGACAGTCCCAACAGATGGGTCAGCAGGAAGGAAGAGTCGGACCATACTACAGGACCCCTACCAGCAGGGGTCATCTCAGATGTCACCTCGTCACCTCTTCAGGAAGCTTTCTCTGACCAGACACCCCCCCCCCCCCCCGAGGAGTCATGGTAGGGAGGTGATCAAGAGAGGAATAAGGTCAACATGGCATATTGCATAAGTCACAAAGAAGGGGATGGATTAGCTTTCAGGTTCCAGCCCTGAACCGTGGTCACCTCCCTTCTTTCACCTCAAAACCTTGAAGTGAAAGGCTGGCTCACCAGGCAGGTGTTCTTTTTTACCTTCCAAGAACCCAACACACAGCATGAAATCTGTCACCTTCTGAAGGTAAAGTTTGTCACATACATCATTGGATAGGAGTTTGAGGTCCACACACTGGAGATTCCTTGAGTGTATAACTACATGCCAGAGAGAAAAAGGGCTGTGGCCAGAGTCCAGGTGTCCCTAGTCCCTTCCTCCCTACACTCAAGGGTCTGGGCTCCAGGCTGCATGGTCTGGCCCTGGAGTACACTTACCTGGTTTGATGCTGCCCCAGCCATAGGCGTAGCAGGTGCCCCCCACTTAGGGTTCCTGGGTGGGCAGGTCCAGGACCCTCACAGCTTCTGTTATCTGGGCGGGCTCTGCCAGGCGGAGCAGCATGAGGTCGTGACTTCGACCATCCCCTAGACTGAGGATGTGGTTCACATGGCTCAAGTTGCAGAGTGCAAGTAGGGAGCTGTTACGGACCCGGACAAGCTGGCCTGTGTCTTACCTTTTGAACAGGTTGTGGCGACCCAGCCAGAGCTGGTAATGACTGAGGAGAGAGGGGGCCCAGGGGATGAGGAGAGAGGAGGGGAAAAGGGAGATGGGGCCAGGGAGCATGGGGAAGGGTCCCAGAGAGAGAAAGAAACAAGGAGTAAACATGGAGAGAGGCCGTGTGCAAGAAAGATTTAGAGTCATGGAGAAACAGAGACCTTGAGAAAACAGAAGGTTGTAACAGCATGAAGGGCAGATCCAGAGACAAAGAGAAGCAGTGAAAAAGAGAGAGCTTGAAACAGAAGCGGGAATGAGGCAGAGGGAAGAACAGTGAGCCAGAAGGAGCACAAAGGAGACAGGAGAGGAAAAGAAAAGGCAGCAACCCTGAGAAAGGGTCCCAGGGAAGAAGCAGGAGTGAAGGAACAGGCAGGGAAGGAGAAGGAGCAGCAGGCGAAGTGACAGAAAGACAAAGAAGCAAAGGAAGATAGTGAGGAATACAGGCGGTGGGGGTGGGGAGGCAGCAAGAGAGAGAACAGGGAGGGAGGACAGGAGGGGCGGGGGAGGGGCCTGGGACCTGCTCAGGTGCAGCTGGGGCTATGGGGTGGGGCCCCCAGAAGAAGGTGGCCTGGTCCCAAGCCCAAAGTCAGCATCCCCCTCCCTCCCTCTCCCCTCCTCCCCCTCCTCCTACATCTCCTTTTTCTCCCCCTCCTTTTCCTTTTCATCCCCCTCTTCCTATACTTCCTCCTCCTCTTCCTTTTCCTCCTCCTCCTTCACCTCTTCCTCCTCCTCCCCCACCTCCTCCTTCCTCCAGGGCTCACACTACGCTCCGGCTGAAACCAGCCCTTCCCTGTGTCCCCCTAGAGTGGATCACTGTCCTGGAGGGAGAGACTGAGCACGTGAGAAGACCCCCTCACACAGAGACATGTCATGACAATCACTTCCTTTTCTCCAGGGTCTCCCTCAGTCCCATCCTGGGGGCTGCTCGGCAGTGATGGAGAGGGAGTGAGGCAGAGACCCAGAGACAGAGGTGGAGGGTGAGACATACAGTGACAGGGATATGGCAGAGGGACCCAGAGATGGACAGAGACATGGAGAGACACACAGTCCTCTGCTGGGGAACATGACAACGAGGAGAAGCTAGGAGAGATATAAGAGAGACTGGTAACCTAGTCTGGGGTGGACTGGAGTGGCACAGGCTGGGGTGCTGGATGGGAGGGAAAGGGCTTATTGGGGACGTGAGAGCAGCATGAAAGTCACAGCGCACTCCCCTTTCTGCATCCCCCACCCCTCTGTCTCACCAATCTTAACTAGGGACAGGGCAAGGCACAGAACCAGGAACCACATGGTGACAGAAGTGTCCAGAGGCAGGCAGGTGGTGAGCTTGCAGCTGAGGAGGCTTTTAAAGCCTTCATCCACTGAAGGCTCCACTTCTGCCCCCCTGGTACCCAGATGCTGGCCAAGACCATGCCTTTGCTGCCGGAGGCTGAACAACCTCCTCCCAATCCCAGAGCTGTGGAAGTTGTTCTGTCACTAGTAGATCACCCTGGATGCATTCATGCATTCCCAGGGAATGAGGGCAGACGGGGGAGAGCTCCTATAGCTCATGAACCTTGATATAGGGGACAGAGCCCGAGAGGAGAGGCCCAGCATAAACAGGAAAAGAGGGTAGGATAATCGCTGATTCTCAATACAAAGCTTCAAATGCCTAAACTCCAAGTAAGTCCTTCGCACCCCAAGACCTAGTGTGTTGTGTTCTGAAATGCCAGCACCACTGGGCTAGGAGACTCCCAAATCCCTGCACAACTATGAGCCAAACTGTCAGCACTTTAACTTCTCAAGTTCCTGATACCAAAGCTCTGGCATTCAGAACTCCCTGATTCTGGCACTCTTACACCCAGAATCTAGTTCCCCAAATCTCTTGTTCCTCCCATAATAAAATCCTGTTGTAGTCCCAGAGATCCACATGCCTAGCACCTCCTAACCCATGACAGTCCAGGAGTCCACCGAAACTATTTCATTTAGTTCTTTAGCATTTCAAAATCCAATGTCCTTCAAATAATGTGAGATTACAGTGACCCCCCCCCCCGTCCTCATTCTCCAGATGTATGCACTCAACGCTCCAGGAATGATTCCTGTTGATGTGCCCTTTCCAAATCAAGAACATCCTCACACAAAATCCAATTCCCCCTCCCCAATGAAGCTATTTAGATCTCACGAACCAGACTCAGACAATTCAAGATTAAGTGGCATTGGAAATTATTTTTTGAGTTTCAGAAGTGAATCAGGAATGAGACCCTTGCAGCATCCACTATTAACCCTATAAGATTCCATTTATTTCCAAGAAGTAGGTTATTTCAAATATTCAGTAACCACAGCAGTTAACATAAGTCCACCTCTAAATGTGTCTCAAGAATTTGATAAAAATGAGCCACCTGGGTGGCTCAGTTGGTTAAGTGTCAGACTCTTAATTTAAGCTCAGGTCATGATCACATGATTCATGAGATCAAGCCCCCTTTGGGCTCTCCTCTGACAAGATGAAGCCTGCTTGGGATTCTCAACCTCTCTCTCTCTCTCTCTCTCTCAAATAAATAAGCATTAAAAAAAAGAATTTTATGGGGCGCCTGGGTGGCTCAGTTGGTTGAGCACCCAACTTCAGCTCAGGTCATGATCTCACGGTTCGTGGGTTCGAGCCCCGCGTCAGGCTCTGTGCTGACAGTTCGGAGCCTGGAGCCTGCTTCAGATTCTGTGTCTTCCTTGCTCTCTCTGCCCCTCCCCTGCTCACACTCTGTCAATCTATCTCAAAAAAAAATAAATAAATAAACATTAAAAAACTTTTTTTTATATAAATAAATAAATAAATAAATAAATAAATAAATAAAAAGAATTTTATAAAATCTTCCCCCTTTCCTAGGTGAGAAACTAGAGAAACTCCAGTATAATGAGCTCAAATAATTGAACCTAAATAAACACAATTTAAGACCATGAGGTCTAAGTTAAGATGTATACTAAGCCAGTGGACTGACCTCTCCCACACAGAGATTCCCTGAGACTCTCCTGTGAAGAGAATCAGGATTCCCTGAGACTCTCCTGTGAAGGGAAGTTTGCCTCAGCTTGCATGAGAACCCACTGGATCCAAAGACCTCTAAACCATCCTAATCCCTGTTCACAACCCCAGTCAAAGCCTGACCTAACCAAAACCCAAACAAACTTAGCCTGACCCAGTTCAACCTAACTCAACACAACCCTCAGCCTAACTCAACTCAACTCAACTCAACTCAACCGAACTTAAACTAACCCAACTCAGCCCAATCCAATTTAACACCATCTGATCCAGTCACAGCCTACCCAACCCCAGCCCAAACCTAACACTATCCAATCCAACTGCACCTGACATCTCCAACCCAACTAAACCTAACCCAAGCCAACCCCCACATCTGCACTCATTTAAAACCAAACCCAACCCTTATCCATTGTCACAGTCAACACAACCCCATACCTAGCTCCATGCTTTTCATATCCCAAACCAAACCTATCTACATTCCCAATTCAGTGTGCACGTATTTTCCATCTATCCGCAAACCAAACCCACTTCCGATCGCAGTCCAACTCATGCTATTCCTAAACTACCCCGACTCCGTCAATCCCAAACCCAACCCAAGCACAATCTTATCCCCATGTCTAACTCAACTCCAGCCCCACACTCTGTTCTAAGTGATTGTCATATTCTATCTCCAAACCTACACCTAGCATTTTCTCTGCCCAATGCAGGCAAACCCAATTGCATTCCAACTCTTAAAACCTCCCATATTCCTCTTCCCCTCCCCACCATGATCCACTCTGCTCTGACTTCACAAGAATCCGTGCCTCCACCTTCCACACATGCACACACTGTGGTGTCCATCAGGTTCCCTGGATAGGCACAAGATGTGGCTGAGATAATGCTGATGTTGGCACAATGTAGCATATTTGGGAGACTCACCGGGGAGGACATAGACTTGGAGCAAACTCATAAGATCAGGCCCTTGCCCACTCTGTCCAGAAGTCCTTGAGACATCCTGAAAGGCCCAAATCTAAAGCACGTGGCAACCCTCAGCTCCCTAAGGTCCCATGCACACAAAGGGGTGGATGTGAGTAGTGCACAGTGCTGGGCACATGACTGGAGAAGTGCACAGGCTAGTGGTAGCAGCATGACATTTTGGCGGTGGCTACGCCCTCCCTTGTAATGGATTTGCTGGAGGATGTGGGATACCGACCACAGTTGTGCTGGGACACCTCGCACACACAGATTGTACTCACCCAAGTGGACCCTCATGGGTCTGCTCATGCAGGGGGGTGGGTGTTTGCAAGTGGGATGAGAAGTAGATGGGAAGATCAAAGAATGGGCAACTCTTATTCCCTTGACCCTTTGGGAATCTGGATATCCCATTACCTTTCCTCCTGACCCTGGAGCCAATTGTTCCAGCCTCCTGGGACCAACAAGTCTTAAGCCACACACACCTGGAGCTCAACTGCCAAGTTCCAGCCTTTCCTTCCTCAGGATACAGGATTCTGAGACCCCCTAGGCCATTCCCACATGAGAACCTCAGGGGATGGGCCCTTCCCAGTCTCCTCACTCATCCCTCGGGGACCCAAGATTAGGGAACCCACACTCCCCTTCACCCAGGACCTTGACCTCCAGCCTCATCCTCCATCAGAACCCAGGAATCTGGGGGTGCCTGGATAGCTCAGTTGGTTGAGCGTCCGACTTTGGTTGCGGTCATGATCTCACAACAGTTCATGGGTTTGAGCCCCGCGTCGGGCTGACAGCTCAGAGCCTGGAGCCTGCTTCCGATTCTGTGTCTCCCTCTCTCTCTGCTCTTCCCACTCACACTCTATCGCTCTCTCAAAAATAAATAAATATAAAAATTAAAAAAAAAAAAAGGGGGGTGCCTGGGTAGCTCAGTTGGTTGAGCATCCGACTTCGGCTCAGGTCATGATCTCACAGTCTGTGAGTTCGAGCCCCGCGTCTGGCTCTGTGCTGACAGCTCGGAGCTTGGAGCCTGCTTCGGATTCTATGTCTCCCTCTCTCTCTGCCCCTCCCCTGCTCATGTTCTGTCTCTCTCTGTCTCAAAAAAAAAAATACACACACATTAAAACAAAACAAAACAAAAAGAACCCAGGAGTCTGGGTTCCTTCCCCACTCAAACCCAAGATTTTTGATCTCTAACCACACCACCTCAGGATCCTGAGCCTTGCCCTCATCCCCAATTTGACAGTGTGCTGCAAAAAGCACAGTGTGGGGAAAGCATCTCAGTTCAAGTGTCTGTGTTTGCATGTGGCCAGACCAATCTCTGACATGTTCAGGAACTAGATGGGAGATGAGAGAACCAGGTTAGGCAGGGGGAACCAGCGAGTGGTAGATAGTGTTTACCAATGGAATGATGTGGCTGTCCTGAGGCTGACCAGTGTTGACAGACAATTCTCTGTGGGCCTTTCAGGGCCTTTCAGGTGTTTGCACATCTTCTTGGCAAAGGTATTCACACTTTTTTTTTTTTCTGGACTGTCTTTTCAAGGATGTTTGGATAGAGGCAGGCTTGTGAGATAGTATCTCCTTGAGAGCAGGTTGTCTTATTGTCCTAGATAATGAAGATAAGGTCTCCCTTACAACAGATTTGTTTGCTGTCAGAATAGCAAATATGTTCCTCCAGAGCAAGTCTGTTTGTGGTCCAGGGTGATAAAAAGAATGTCTCTCTCCAGGGCAAAGGTCAGGCAGGTTTGCTGGCAATCCCTTATATTAGGTTTAAAAAAAAAAAAAAAAAAAAAAAAAAAAAAAAAAAAAAGCTCACATTCTGGAAATGGGTAAGCATATTATTTATTAACTATTCAGTTAAACATAAATCAGAAAAGGAATTTTGAAATTCCTAGAAACGAATGACAATAAAATAGGTAAAAATTTGTGGGAAACAGTGGAAGTAACAATTAGAAGGAAGTCTTAAAAGAAATGAGCTGAGGGGCGCCTGGGTGGCTCAGTCGGTTAAGCGTCCGACTTCGGCTCAGGTCATGATCTCACAGTCCGTGAGTTCGAGCCCCACGTCGGGCTCTGTGCTGACAGCTCAGAGCCTGGAGCCTGCTTCAGATTCTGTGTCTCCCTCTCTCTCTGCCCCTCCCCGCATTCATGCTCTGTCTCTCTCTGTCTCAAAAATAAATAAACATTAAAAAAAATTAAAAAAAAAAAAGAAATGAGCTGAGTGTTCATAAGACAGCATAGAAAAAAACCCAAAGAACCAATAGGTTAGCAAATAATCGAAAGAGGGGTGGAAATCAAGGAGGATACGGAGAACAACAGCAAAAATGTTGAGATAATTCTCTCAACCAAATATTAGCTCTCTTAAAAAGATTAATGAAAGGCAAATAATAAAGACAAAGACACAAAAACATTAATTTTAAAAGGCAGAAACAGGGCGCCTGCGTGGCTAGTCGGTTAAGCATCAGACTCCTGATTTCAGCTCATGATTGCAGCTCAGGTCATGATCTCACGGTTCGCAAGTTCAAGCTCTACTTGATCAGAATGTATCATTTTGTTTTTTATTTATTTTTTTAAGCTTATTCATTCATTTTGAGAGAGAGAGAAAGAGACAGAACTAGCAGGGGAGGGACAGAGAGAAGGGGGTCAGAGGATCCTAAGCAGGCTCTGTGCTGGGAGCAGAGAGCTCGATGTGGGGCTTGAACCCACAAACCTCGAGATCATGACCTGAGCAGAAGTTGGGCACTTAACCAACTGAGCCACCCACGCGCCCCAGGATGTATCATTTTAAGACACACGGTTGGATTTGGTTAGCTTATATTTAATTTTTTTTCTCATCTATATGCAAATTGAAACCAGTCTATAGTTGTCATATTCTATCATTATCCAGACTTCAAAAAATAAATCGAACTTCAAAAATAAATTGCAGCTTCCTGCCTTTCTCCTTCTTTCTAGAAGAATTTGTATAAGCAAGAATTATCTGTTGCTTGAGAGTTTCGTCACAACATTTTTCAGATTCTTATTTAAGTATCTTTAATGATTGTAATCCATTCAAATTTTGTGTTTCATGTAGCGACCTTATGTATGTTTTCCCATTTATTGGATACATTTGTTTTACTATTTTTACGATTAAAAAGAATTCTATTATAGTTGTTTGCTCTTTTATTTCTGTATTTTTTTTAATTTTATTTTAATGTTTGTTTATTTTGAGAGAGGGAACATGTGCACATGAGAAGGAAGGGCAGAGGGAGAGGGAGAGAAGAATCCAAGCATGACTTTTTAGTCTTCCACGTCCCAAGCTCAGAATTCCAGACTTTAGATTCCAGACCCCATGATTACAGACTCAGATCTCTGACTCCAGGCCTCACAATTCTGCCTTGGGATTGCAGACACCAGGCTTCTGATCACAGGCTCTAGAAAGCAGAACCCAGAATAGATACACTCAGCTAGAGATAACAGAATTCAGACCAGACCACAGACTCCAGATTCCAGACCCTTTGAGGCCAGATTCCAGAACTCCAGGCACACAGCAAGCCTCAAAGCACAGACCCAGCATGTCAGATCTGTGTTCCAGAATCCAGCCCCACAGCACTGAAGCCAAGCCTCACAGCTTAACTCCAAATCCCAGATTCTGGACTCCAGAATCCAAGCTTTGGGTCTAGAACTCTCACACTCTAGGCTTCAGGTGAGGTTTGCAAACATGTTCATCTTAGAACACCTTAACACACTTAAAATTTTTGTTTATGTGGATTGTATGTACCAATATTTATCATATTAGGAATTAAAATGGAGACATCTTTAAAATATTTATTCATTTAGAAAAATTTTTCAATGTTTATTTATTTTTGAGAGACAGAGCATGAGTGGGGGAGGGGCAGAGAGAGAGGGAGACACAGAATCCGAAGCAGGCTCCGGGCTCTGAGCTGTCAGCACAGAGCCCGACGCAGGGCTCGAACTCACGGACCGTGAGATCATGACCTGAGCCGAACCAGGT